TGCAGCCTTTTCTAATTTTTTTCACACTTACAGTATTCACTTATAATTTTGAGTGTATGGGTGTAATATTTTAGATACTGATAGAGGGTAACCATACTCTGTAGTTCTGTCCTAGGACTCTCATTGTGTTATTAATATGTTATCTCACATTTTAAATCTTATTTTTCAACTTGAAACTTTCCTTGTGTTATGCTGGTGCTTAACTGAGCTATTGAAATTGAAATTACATGTGCCCAGCTTAACAAGTTGGTATAGTACTACATTCTGATTTTGTTTTTAATCAAGCAGTATGCTTACTATAAATAAGAGATTTTTAAAATTATAAAATAATATTAACAGACTTATCCCAGAAGGCCTGGTATGACTAGTTCCTGATAATAATTTCATTAAAATACAAATTAGAAAGGACATTAAATAGATAATCTTTAGTTCGAGTGATTTTCATTGACTTATTTATTTATTCTTGACATAGTGCTGTGATGTTGACTGAGGAATGTTGACTAATTTGAGTAAGGGTTTCAGTCCTGTTCACACCAACTCTCTAGCTGCAAGATGTGTTATTTTAATGCAAGGTGGATTCTCATATTTCCCGTGTTATTCTTGAAAATTAACTACTTATTTTTTAAAAAATATTTCAGATTCTTTCCTCAGAAATGTTAGAAGACCGCATTAAGTTTTCGTTCCAAACCAAAGTGTTTGAGAATAATGTTGGTTACCTCCGATTTGATACATTTGGGGAGAGTGAGCTTTGGCCGCAATTCTCTGAGCTGATGGTGGAACGCATCTGGAAGAAGGTTGTCCACACTAATGCACTAATCATCGACATGAGGTAAATAATCTGTCCTAAGCAGAATAAGCAATGAAGATAAAACTTTTGAAATATATGCTTTGCTATAAAGGTATTTGTCAAATTTAATTCCTGGGCCTAACATAATTGCAGTGTACCTTGTGAGGCCATCATTGACCAGATTATGAGCTATGTGTTCCTTGCAGGAGGAAATGTATTTATTACCCTTTAAGACAAATGCAAGGATGGAGGTTGGGTACCGGGATAGAGGGCATAATAACAATACACCCGAAGTTCTACCTCCTGGGATCTATCCCAAAATATGTGTGATCGAGGTACAGAAGCTCCAGTCTCCTGAATTTGAAATAAATGTTGTGACCTTTATTTCAGTGGGAAGATGCAGCAATGTTTTCCTCAATGCAATTGCAGCCCTTCACAAAGCACAAACCTAGCACAATCAGGATATCTGATGTTATACAGATCTCTAGAAAGCCTTTTTATCAATATAAAACATAGGTGGAATGGCAGAAGCCTTTTTTCTGGGCGCATGAAAAGTGCTACAGCCTGAGCACATCTTGTTCAGCCACTTTTACTAGACTGTGGAAGGTCTTGGTATTTTCTCATAAGGATGTTGCAGCCGTTCAGAACTAGTAGGGGCCCTTTGGGCTCCCATGACGTCAGCTGAAATCTGACAATTTATTTCTCCCAAAGCAATATTGGAATAATAAAACTAATTGCTTTTTATTAAGTGCTGTAGTTTTGTAGAGCTCGTAGATAGACTACAAAGTCTTGCTTTGTCCTGAGTTCCAGGATTTCAAATCTTTCTAGGTTAATTGTGACTTGATGACTTTTTTACATACACAAGCAGACAATTTTTTTTAAAATTTCAGACAAGACATAAGAACAGGTATGGGGAAGTGTGAAACAAACAGCTAATTTCTCTTTTAACTGGAGTTGGGTTATGAGATCCTGACTAGAAAAATTCATATGACTGTTATATGGAATCAAAGACTTAGAATTTTCTGTCTGTGGGGTTTTTTTTATGGCTGCCGCTTAGGGCAGTCAAGACGTCTTTGTTCTGAGCATTTCAAGATTTAATTGTGGATCATTTTCAAACTGCTTTGGGGGGATCAGAGACGAGAAGTTGTGGTAACGTAAGGGTGCCTCTATGTCAGGTTTCCTTGTCAGTGCCTACTTCTCAAAATGTCTTCCATGCCTCACCAGGTACAACACTGGAGGGCCCATCTCCTCTGTAGCAACTCTATGCTCTTACTTCTTTGATGAAGGACATCCAGTTTTACTGGACAAAGTCTACTACAGACCAAATAATACTACCAGTGACCTTTGGACTCCTTCCCAACTTTTAGGTAACAACATCTGAAGTTGTGAATGTCAGTATTTCTCTTTACTTACTGCACATTGTGGCTAAAGATAGCACATTAATCTTATCAAATATTAACCTATGGCAAACATGGGTCATGGACTGGAATAACCCCAGAGCAAAATAGGCACAGAGAGCCAAAGCCAGGTTAGTCATTCCTAAGCACTAGGTCCCTAGAAGCAGGGCTCGCCATGCAGGACAGGACCTACGCTGCAGACTATCGAAAGAGGCCTCAGAGACGGTCCAGCACACAGGGGCAGGGTGTCAGATGCATTGCAGCCAAGTGAATCATGGGGTTGTTAAGCAAATCTAGCTTCACCCACTGACTTTGCTGGTCAGAAGACAGCCGGAAAGGTAGCAAGTGGCGATCACACAACCCCAGAATGCTACCACCATCATAAATGCATGCCGGTTGCCAAATGCTCAAATGTTGATTACACAATCATGGGGATGCTGTGACAGTCGTATGGGAGAAGGACGGTTGTCACTTTTTTCAGTGACATTGTAACTTTGAACAGTCATTAAATGAATGGTGGTGAGGACTACCTGTATTGTATATACCAGTGGTTGGCAAACCACGGCTCACGAGCCACATGTGGCTCTTTGGCCCCTTGAGTGTGGCTCTTCCACAAAATACCGAAAAGTCCGCAAAGTGCTGAAAAGTCCTTCAGCCAGTGAGAAAAAAGCTGTGCATGCGCGAAGATGACGGCAGTGACTGGAGATCTTTTCGGCGCTGTGCGCCAGTGGCTGGGTAGAAAAGAAGCCTCTCAGTCCCTTCACACAGGGTCGCTTTTCTCCGTGCCCGAGAAAGATCAAAAGGTGCAGAGCAGCCTTTAATTAGGTAAAAGAAAACAAATCACTGAGGGAAAGAGCCCACTGAAGCTGCCGGTGTTGCAGCCGCCTCTCCCCTTCCCCGCAGCTTGGAGCTCCAAGCGGAAGAAGTCCTCAGCTGTTGCGAAGAAGCGGCAGCTCTGGGTGAGCCATGCCCGCTTCTTTCTCTTTGAGAGCTGCTTTGCAAAGCAGCTCTCAAAGAGAACGAAGCAGGCGTGGCGCACCCAGAGCTGCCGCTTCTTTGCAACAGCTGAGGACAGAAGAGTTCACTCAGGAGCGACGCCAGCAAGGAAGGCGGCTGGGTCGGAGGGAGGCGTAGCCCGAGCTCTCTGGGACGGGTAAACAAGTGTGGGTAGGTGAACGGGAGTGGACCTGGCCTTCCGCGTGTTGCATCCCCTTCCCCCTACTTTTTAATTGTAGTTAAAAAGAACTAATTAAGTTAATAACAATGTACCTACCTATATAGTTTAAGTTTTAAAAAATTGTCTCTCAAAAGAAATTTCAATCGTTGTACTGTTGATATTTGGCTCTGTTGACTAATGAGTTTGCCGACCACTGGTATATACTAACTAGCTGGGGAATTCTAGGAGTTGAAGTCCGCATGTCTTAAACTTGCTAAGGTTGAGGAATGCTGCCCTGTACAGTATATGCATAACATTAATTACAGTATTTATTCTCATTTTATAAATTCATAGAGGGACATTAATTTTAATATGGGTTCTGATCAAATTTAATGTTTGGTGAGACTGTGGGTAACTTTTTGCATCTTCTCCTGTCTCTTCAAGGTCAAAGATATGGCTCTGAGAAGAGCGTGGTCATTCTCACCAGCTCTGCAACTGCTGGGACTGCTGAACAATTTGTGTCCATCATGAAGAGGCTGGGCAGAGCCTTGATCATTGGACAAAGGACCAGCGGGGGTTGCCTCCCCTCTCAGACATTTCAAGTGGACAGAACCGGCCTCTTTGTCACCATTCCAACTTCTAGATCCACAATTTCTTCTAAGGACTCTTGGGAGGGGGTTGGAGTGGATCCTCACGTGGCGGTTCCCATTGAGAAATCCCTCATCCAAGCCAAAGAGATCCTTGTCTCCCACCTCCATAGTTTGAGTTAGATTAGTGGGTCAAACCAGGAGTTTGCATGAAGGCAAAAGGGCATCCGGTTCCCTCCCCTACCCTTGAGACTAAATTTTTGGCCTTGCACATTCATGCCAGACAACACATCATTCCAAGTCTTCTATAAATAGTTAAAATATAGAAGGAGAAGGAGGAAAGCAAGAAATATTAACCCATCCTCCCAATTTCAGACTGTGTTTCAGAATATAACTTGAAATCCCCAAATCCCTAGAACCGTGATGGCGAACCTATGGCACGTGTGCCACAGGTGGCACGCAGAGCCATATCGGTGGGCACGCGAGTGCTGTCCTAGCTCAGCTGATTTTCGGGCCTTCCGGGCACACTGGAAGGCTATTTCCGGCCTCTGGAGGGCTTCCGGGGGAGGGAAGGGCATTTTCACCCTCCCCAGGCTCCTAGAAAGGCTCTGGAGGCTGGGGAGAGCGAAGAATGGGCCTTCCAGTCCCACCGGAAGTCGGTAAATAAGCCATTTCTGGCCTCCGAAGGGCCTCCAGGGGGATGGGGAAGGCTGTTTTCGCCCTCCCCAGGCTCCAAGTAAGCCTCTGGAGCCTGGGGAGGGCGAAAAACGGGCCTACTGGGCCCACCGTGCCATCGTGTGCCAAAAGCGGGGGGAGCGCAGGGGTGTCACGCATGCCTACGCGCGGGGAGCGGGGTGCACTGAATTATGGGTGTGGGCACACGTGAGTGCAACAACCCCCCCACGCACTCCCCCCGCTTTTGGCACACGATGGCAAAAAGGTTAGCCATCACTGCCCTAGAATATGTATTTTTTAAGTTTTAAAGAGAAGATACAAACTAACAAAAACTAATATAGAATAAAGAAAGAAAAAAGAAAGAAAAGACAAATTGCAGGAAAAAAGAAAAAGAAATAGAAAGAGGCAGCTTCTGATTCTCTTTGCAGCAAATACAAATACAGTTACACAATTATCTCTAGTTGTAAAAAGAAAAGCTAACTTTTTTCTATTATTTTTTTTTCTAATCATCAAAACCACAAATCATAAGTGCATTTTTCTGTGTCATGCAAAACCTCCATCGGGGATATCCAATCAGCCATAAATGCAGATGTGGTCTTTTCTCTGATCAAGGAAGTCAATTTAGCCATCTATGAAAGTCCAATCATCTTCACCAACCATTCCTTCTTTAATGGGTAGTGTTGAAACTGTTCATTTTTGAGCATATAATAATCTCGCTGCAGTAGTCATTCTGTGTCTTTTTTTCTAGCTGTGTATCCATTAGTTCCAAAATAAAAGCCTCTGGGTTCAACTGTACTTTAGCTTTTAAAATCTTCTGAATTAGCCTATGTGTCCATTTTCCCATCGATCCATTTGTATAACCAACATTTTTAGCCCATTTTATTATACATTTGTTCCTTTGTCTCAAATTTCAACAAAAGTTTATACATTTTAGTAACATGTTTATTATTTGTATATAACTGTCAGCACAAACTCTGCTTTCTAGCCTGATGCTTAACTACTAACCAAATTGGCTAGTGCAATATATATTTTTATATAGTACAATATATATTTATATAGAGAGCAATATACCCATTTTTGTAGCAAATAAAATTGATGTCACTTCAAGAGGCTTTGAACATATGTTACATTTTGGAAGTATAAACAAAGCAGAAAAAAGTAAGGTAAAATGCAAATAAAAGCACTTTGCATTAGCATTTGACCATTGAATACCTTTTACCAATAGTTGTACAGCTTTGTTTCAGACTTCTGATAGAACAAATTTCTTTATGATCTTGACTGCAGAAAAATATATGGACCAAAGGCATTATGTCCATGTTTATATTAAGAATATTGATACCCAAACCGGCTCTTAAATATAACTTGAGGAGGTAAAATTGCTCCCTGAAATTGGTACATGGAGGCAAGCTATCACCAATTCAGAGGTAACCTTGAACTTTTATGCTACCAGTGCTATCCATAATCCACAATATGATGTGGCTGAAAAATTAGATACCTGTTAGGAGTGGTTTAATTTGGACTCCTGCACTGGATTTGATGCCCTAAATGGATGCTTCCTGCTTCTCTTACTCTAATCACTGTGCCTTCATTTGAAAGCTTACAGACAAGTTGTGGGTGTGAACTGGGAAGCTGGCACTTCCATCCTCACCTATTCAGTCCTTGTTGAGATACACACAGAGAGAGACAGAGACACCTGTCACTGCCTGGTGCAGCACTGTGTTGCACAACTGAAGAAGGCCGTTTTATCACATCGGAAAAATTACATTGATTTGCTTTGATGGTCACCAGGAATCAACTTTAACTTAAAATAAATTTTATCCTTTACTTCAATCCTAGGCTAGGGAAGAATTTCATTCCATAATGGCTCTGACATGGAAAAAGTTGCTGCTTCAAATTACTAAAGAAAAAAAAATGTTATCAACATTTTCATAGTTTAAGGTGAAAAAAATGGAACTGTAGAAAGCAAAACTTTTCTCTTTACATGTCACTGTTTATTTCCTTATAAGTGTATTTCCAGAGTTTCATTTTCAGAACTTGAGCTATCTGTAGCTGATGTAATTACATTTCTTCTTAACGCTTCTATATAAAAGGCTGCCTTTCAAAGATTCTGGTTAAATGCAGTAAAATCACAATGGAATTCAATCAATGTCTGCACACAATCTGCAGGCTAGTTGTGTGAAGTCATGTGCCGAGATAAATGATGTCTTTCTCGAAAATATTCCTGGCAAACAGGACAGGACAGCTTTTCCTCCCGCCTCCTTTTCCTTTGGGAGTCTGTCGAGACCTCGACCTTTTTGTGATGGGAACGCATGTGCAGCACAAGGTCTGAGGTCATGTGGAAGGAGAGGCTGCACTTTGCACACCAGTTCTGGGCTGCCACACTGAGAGGGGCGAAACTGGGAGGCAGCAGAGCCCAGGAGGCAGAGGAGGAGAGGCTGCAGCCGGAAGCAGGGTTGGCCTGCATCTGCTCATCTGCTTCCTTTGGCCACGGAGCTGAAGAGAAAGCGAATGGGTTGCTCTTAATGAGGTTGGTCGACAGCAGCTGGAAACCATCTGAATCGTTTACCAGGAACCTGGAAGCGAGGCAGCCACTGTGCGGCATGAGGTCAGTGGCAGCGATGCATTCTGACAATTTCCTTGGGCTTCCTTCCTTGATACTTTTTAGAGGTTGAAAAGCAGCCAGAGCCCCTCCGTCTTCCCAGCACTTGGCTGGTTTGCTGAAAGCACTTTTGGGTTCCCCAGCAATGCTGTTGGGCCACACAAAGGAGTATGCGCTACCAGGGGAACACTGGACTGCAGCTTTGTCCAAACCAGCCTTCCTATTGCCTTGTTCTGCCTCTTTGACTTTCTCTACAGACCTTCTCACTTCAGTGAATGCACTCTCCTTCTGTCGCAGCACATCCTTTACTAATAAATGTGTCCTAGTACCAAATGTCCAGCAGGGTTCCCTTAATATGTGCTCCGCAGTTCTTCCATCCTTGAGCTTGCTGTAGGCTGCTTTCTCCTGTAGACAATTTGCCTTCTCAAATAACACAGATTTTCTGTTCTGACAGCTCTCCATTTCACGGCTGTTCATTCTCCTCCCCTCAAAGGAAGCAACCATTTTAAACTCCAAGTCCCTAGACAGACCATGGAAGTTTGTGGATTGTTCCATAAATCTGCTTTTCACCATCTTTGGGAGAAGACGTTTTGTTTAGAGCTGGACCCTATTCTTCAGAAAGCAGAAGAAATGAGCAAGACAGCACTGGGAGGCTTTCTTGAAGTCTGGACAATCGAGTTCTAGAACGAGAGAAATCAAATAAATAATTATTGAACAGATTCTTGGTTGGTTGGGAGAAATTAAGTAGTCAAACCAAGAAAGACCCTTGATAACCTAGATTAACACTCTGTTTTGCAAAAACCATTAAAACAATCTCTCCAGAGACCTTGAGCAAAGGCTGCTACAAATCTTGCCAAGGATTGTTGAAGGGACATGCAGCACTGAATCTCATACTCGTTATAACAGGAGGCAATATTTATTTTTACTATTTTTTATTAAACGAATGTATATAGCTGCCCAACACAGACATCGTTGATTCGGATAGTTTACATTTTAGAAATCTACTGCATAATAAAAGCATGAAGCCTCCCCCCACCCCCATCCCACACACAGCCTGTCTCCTGAACTTCCAAACACATTTTTAGAATCAAACTGCACTAGTGTTGTGTTTTCTGCACCCTCTGACCCATCCTTGAGGGGGGAAAAGAAAGGAATAGAGGGGAAGATAATTAAGTTTGACCATGGATATTAGCAGAAAAGGAGAAACAGAAACAGAAAACTCAACCTTCCAGATAGAAGTTCTCCTTGGAAGCCCTTAGGGCAGCAGGCAATCTGCTGCTGTCATGATGAATACAAACACATTTTCAGGGAAAATAAAATCACAACAAGGGCTGATACAAAAATCATGCAATACAATACCCATTGGACATTTTCTCACCTATGCGGCTTCTTGCCTACATTGCTGAAATATTTCTAGTAAATCCTGTCATAATCCTCAATTCCTTTCTGGCAGCATCCAAAAAATGATATAGCAATATATATATATATATATATATATGCGTTCACATTTCTTTTCCTGTGTAGATGAATTTCCCAAAGTGCCTACTGAGAAGCACACATTCTAAAGAGACCTTTAAAAAAACAGCAAACTTTCTTGTATAAATTGTTGAAAATAATTTCAGAAATAGTATATAGTGTAACCCTTATCTACATTTTCTCTGAAGTAAAATCAGTTTATTTGCTGTCAGACTAACCTTAAATGGTTTTTTCCAATATCCTATCATAATTTAGCACATTTTCCCCAACAATAAAAATTGTACTCTGCTCATGCTTTTTTTTTCGATAATTACTCCCATTATGTCCATCGTAGCTTAATCGCTGCATGTTATTAGACAGAAGCCTAATCGACTTCGACGCGAGGTGAATACTGTAGTCAGCATCCATGTTTTAAAAAACTGCAAGCAGTTGAGAAAAAAAAAATGTGTCCAAAAGCACACACAGCTTCTGCTGGACTGTTTTCTACTAATTCCAATTTTCATGCACCGCTGACGTTCAGATTCAAGAGCAGAATGTCAGCAACTCGGGTTAGCTTTATTATGATTTTATCCCGACTTTTTTATAGGCGCAAACATAGCTAACGCTCCGGCCCCTTATTTTCCCCACACAACAACCCTGCGAGGCGGGTTGAGCCGAGAGAATGACCGGCCGACACTAACCCGCGAAGCAGGGCTGCGGGACCGCGGAGTCCGGGAGGCGCTCGGCTTCCCCGCCTCCCCCGTCCCCAGTCCGATCCCCTCCGGGCGAGCGGTTCCCCTCGTACCGCCCCGGCCCTCCTGCGCAGCCCCCGCCCCGCAGTCCTCGCGTCCCACCTCCTCCTCCTCCTCCGGGCTCCCCGGCAGCGGCTCCGCAGGTCCTGGCTTCCAGGCATGCCAGCGCCGGGAAAGCGAAGGGCGCGACCGGGCCCCTGGCCGCCACCCGCTTCCTCGCCCTGCAGTCGCCACTTCGCCCGCGCCCTACCTGCGCAAGAGAGGCCGCTCCGGCCCGCGCAGGTGGACCCGCCCAGTGCGCCGCCCAGGAGCGCCAGCCACGCGCCTGGGAGTAAAGAGCCGAGCAGAAAGAGCGGCGTGTAGGACTCAGCCTGGATTAAACTAGGCAGGGAGCCGCGAGCATCGCGGTGTGTGTGTGTGTGTGTGTGTGTGTGTGTGTGTGTGTGACGAGGGAGGGAGCGCGGAGCTCCAGTGCCAGCCCTGCCGAAAGAAGTATAGCCGGAAGGCAGAAGCAGAAGCGGCAGCGGGCGGGGCGGGGGGGGGGGGCGGGCCGGCGTCAGAGGGCGGGCAGGAAAGTTTTGCGGCGGAGCGGCTTTCCTCTGGCGTGGAAATCCAGGTGGAGGAGCGGGCCGAAGCCCTCGAGGCCCCGAGAATCGCTCTGCGGAGCCTGAGCCGCCGCCGCCGCTCTGGGACTCTCCGCTGCCTTGCCCCTTCCGTTCGCCAGAGCTCCGGGGGCTCCGGGCGGCCCTGGAGGGGACCGGCCGGGGTCATTCCCGGTGCAGCGGCCCCGGATCTCCCCCCGTGGGGCTTTCTAAAGTCTCCGCAGCAGATGTCCCAGCCGAAGTACCGGAGCCTTCGGGAGCAGCGGCGCTTGCCGGAGCTGTCCTCGAGAAAGATCCCCCATCCATTTGTTAGAAATCTGCTTCAGGGAGCCTCTGGCCTGGGGAGGGGGAGGGGCTTCTTGTAGCCTCTTCTACCTCTTGGTCGTTCTTCCCCCTCGGCTGCCCAGCCCAGCCTTTCTCGAGCTCTCGGAAGATGTCTGGCGGGGGAATTCCGCAAATTGGAGTCCCCCGTCTTAAAGTTGCCGAGATTGAGGAAGATTGGCCCGGGCAGAGGGATGAGGGCTCGTCTCCTGAGCGCTGCTCCCTCTTCCCAGGCGTGGACGACGACTTTGGTCCAGGCGGCCTTATGCTTATGTCTCAACCGCAGGCAGCAGCAGGGCTTGGCCGAGCTCCGTTTCAGCCGCCCGTGTTGCTGTCCGAACATACTGTGGTCCTGAGGGTGAACGTCCTAAACAACGAGGATAGACCTGCTCAGCTCCTTTGGCCCCTTTTGGAGAGCAGCTGCTTGGCTTCCCACTTTTCAAAGTTGCCCAAGCTTCTTGGGTTGTTTTCCCCTTGAGGAGTCTCATCTGTGGAATCCTTCCCAAGCTCTCTCTAAGTTAATTGAAATTAGCCCTCTTAAAGTCCAAGACTCTAGTTTGACTTTGTTCTATTGCTTGTGCTTGCATAATGTTGAATTCCAATATTGCACGATCACCCACCCACCCCCAGGTTCCTGTAGCTTCAACACCTTTTATCATTTCATCTCTGTTAGAATTAAGTCCAATATGGCTTCGCAACATTCTTTGTTGTGCTTTTTTGAAGACGTTTTTGATGTTAGGTGTCTATTTTAGATCTTGCGATATGGTAGAACCTAGAAATTTGAAGGTCTCTACTATTGATACTGTGTTGTCTAGTATTATGAGAGGTGGAAGTATGGAAGGGTTTCTCCTAAAGTCTACCACCATTTCTACAGTTTTGAGTGTGTTCCGTTCCAGATTGTTCCGGTCGCATGAGGCTAGTTGTTCAACCTCCCGTCTGTATGCAGATTCATTATTGTCTCGAATGAGACCGATCACTGTTGTGTCATCTGTGAACTTCAGTAGTTTAATGGATCCTTAGAGATGCAGTCATTGGTATACAGAGAGAAGAGAAGTGGAGAGAGCACACAGCCTTGGGGGGCCCTTTGCTAATTGTACAGGTATCTGATGTAATTCTGCTTAGCTTCACCTGCTGCTTCCTGTTTGTTAGGAAGCTTATGATCCACTTACAAGTGTGTTCAGGTACCTCTAGCTGGTTTAGCTTAGTTAGAAGTGTGTCCGGAATGATGGTATTGAATGCTGAACTAAAGTCTACAAAGAGGACCCTCGCATAGGTCTTTGGAGATTCAAGATGTTGTAGGATGCAGTGCAAAGCCATATTAACAGCATCATCTGTTGATCTATTTGCTCGGTATGCAAATTGCAAGGGTTCTAACAGCAGATCCGTGATAGTTTTCAAGTGGGACAGCACTAGCCTTTCAAAGGTTTTCATGACTACAGATGTTAGAGCAACTGATCTGTAGTCATTCAGTTCCTTGATAAAAGGGTGACATGATTAAAAGTTAGAATAAAGATAGAAATAAGAGAAAGGGGGAATATTAGTGTATACATTTTTACATAATAAAATAAAAGCAAGAACAAGAGGGAAGCTTAGAAATGGAATGGTGGTATTATTTTAAAAAAAGTTTTTTATTTTTATGTTTAAACAATACATCATTAATTATTTATCTGAGTACATATTTTTGTGTCATCATATTCCTCCTTTAGCATCATTTTCTTGCTAGAATTCTATCTTACTTTTACATTTTAATTTAATTTATTACATTTTTTCCAAATTTCTTACATTTATATTAATTTTTTATTATATCTCATCTCTATCCATTGATAGAATTGCCCTCATATCCTGTAATACTCCCATTCTTCCTTTCCCTTAATTGCCAATGTTAGTCTATTCATTTCTGCACATTCCAATATTTTCTTAATTACTTCTCCCTCTATAGGGATTTTTTCTGCTTTCCAATTTTGTGCAAATACTATCCTCACTACAGTTAGTACATGTATAATCAGATAAATATTTTCTTTACTATATTTCTCCGGTAAGATACCCAATAGGAACAGTTCAGGTTTTAAATCAATATGTTGTTGTATCATTTCCTCTAACCTGAATGGAGGTATTATTATGTATGATCAAATAACACAGTGAGTGGTATTTGAGCAATATATTAAGGCATTGAATAATTAAATAATGATAGATTACAACTTAATATAAATGTGTATTATTATTAGAAATATATAAGTTGGTTGAATGTAATAACTACGATTAATTTTACTAGTTTTATTTGCATTAGAATGTATGACACCCAGGTGCCACACTGTTCACGCAGTGATATGTATATGTAAAATAAAATAAAAAACTTGAAAGAAAAGCCATTACAGTATGTCCTCCCCATGCAAGTGGAGCAGCAAAATTAAGCTTACTTATTCTATGGGTTTCTTAATATTTATGTGAATTTGTATAATTATTGCCTCCCCTCAGGGATGGGTTCTACTTACCTTTACTACTGGTTCGCAACAGGATTGCACGCGTACTCACTTTGTTCGCGTGCGCGCCTTGCTTCTGCATTTGTGCAGAAGCTTCTGCGTATGTGCAGATCGCCGATGACAACATCCAGGGCGGTGGGCAGGGCCTCCCGCCAGTTTTACTACCGGTTCTTGCAAACCGGTCCGAACTGGGGGCTATCCACCACTGCCTCCCCTCCTTTCCCTTATATCAATTAAGAGACTAGAGAAATTCAGATCTCACTACCAGAAACTTTTTAGCCCTTCAGGTTTGCTGGCTGGCATTTTCTGGGCTTTTCTGCAGGGATTTGGGCACCTCTAAGCTACTGGTTGGAGGGTGGGATTTGGTGTGACTGCTGAGTTTCACAGCCAATCCTGCCTCCTGCCTGTTTTACTCACCCTCTGAAACAGTCCCTGCCTCCAGCAGGGATCCACTTGCCTGCCATGCAGTCGCCAGGCCGGCTTTTGTCCTAAACACGTTCTCTTCTCCCACAACAGCCTCTTTTCCTTCTCTCCTGTGAAAAGGCCTTGTCTCCTCCTGACTCAAATTCAGAATCCAGAGTCTCCTCTGGGAGCAGGATTACACTCAGGTGCAGCCCACCTGAGTCAACCTGGGAATAAAGAGGCCGCAAAGCACCCCTTTCACCAATAACAGGACCTTGCAATTCCTGGGCAAGCTTGGACTTTTTAGTATATGTTTTTAAAAGTTTCAAATGGATTCCGTGGGGTTCAGATGGGCTTGTTGCTTATGTACCTGGCAACAGCCCTACCTGAGCTACTCGACGTGATAGCCATGGTGGCAGTAGATACACCCAGGCTTTTAGTCATGGGTGATTTCAACTTGCCATCCGTTGGTGAAACGTCTGAGGTGGCTCGGGAGTTCATGCCTTCCATGACGGCCATGGACCTGACCCAGTTAGTTCATGGCCCTACTCACAGGGGAGGTCACACTCTGGACTTGATTTTTGTCTCTGGCCAGTGGTTGAGTGGTCTTGTTATAGGGGATATAGACATGGAACCCTTGTCATGGACTGACCACTCACTCCTTCGCCTGGATCTTCGAGCTGCTACCCCTCGCCGCAGGGAGGCAGACCCAATTAGATGGATCCGCCCCAGGCGCCTGATGGATCCTGATAGGTTCCAGATGGAGCTTGGGCCATTTCCTGAGGATCTAGCATATGACTCGGCCGAGGACCTGGTAGCCGCCTGGGATCGGGCGGCTGGTGGGGCCTTGGACCGAGTCGTGCCTTTGTGGCCTCTGACCCGGTGCCGATCCCTGGCGGCTCCTTGGTTCACTGAGGAGCTGAGGGAAATGAAGCGCCGGAAAAGACGCCTGGAGAGCGGTTGGAGGGCCAGTCTCGCTGAATCTGATCGAACACTGGTAAGGTCGCATATTAAGGCCTACCTAGTGGCGATAAAGATGGCAAAGTTTAATTACTTTTCCACCTGTATTGCATCATCAGGGAATCGTCCGGCCGCCCTGTTTAGGGTGACCCGCTCCCTGCTCCATCCGGGAGCGCGGGAGGATCCCTTGGAAGGCAGGGCAGAGGATTTCGGACAATTCCTGTATGACAAAATCGCTCAGATCCGGGGGGATTTGGACTCTGACTGGGTAGATCAAGGCAGGGTGACGAGGAATAGTCTTGAGAATGTTACCTGGGAGGAGTTTGAAGCTGTGACTCCCGATGATGTGGACAGGATTTTGGGGAGACTTAGTGCGGCCACATGTTTACTGGACCCGTGTCCCTCCTGGTTGGTACTGGCTTCCCGGGAGGTTACACGAGGCTGGCTCCAGGGTGTTATCAACGCTTTGTTGAGTGAGGGTCACTTCCCCGCCGCCTTGAAAGAGGCGGTGGTGAGGCCTTTTCTCAAGAAGCCATCCCTGGATCCGGCAATATTGGCCAACTACCGTCCTGTCTCCAACCTTCGCTTCCTGGCGAAGGTTGTTGAGAGTGTGATCGCGCGACAGTTCCCACAATTCCTGGAGGAAACATCTTATCTAGATCGGTCCCAGTCGGGTTTCAGGTTTGGGCACAGCACGGAAATGGCATTGGTCGC